TATACCAGTGCATTAATCTGTGTTAACTTAAAATTATTAAGTAAATGAAGTAAATAAAAAAAATGAAGTAACAACCGAATAAAAAGTAGCAGTAGTCTTTAGTAGAAAGAATTTTACACAATTGATGTATGGAAGTACTAAATAACGATCTACTTAAGCTCTCCTTGTATACAACAGAAACAACAACAACATCTTGAATTAAATGTATAATCGAAGCAAAAAATAAAACGCAAAAAAAACAACAAAAAAAAACTCGAAAGTTTCTAAAACTTGCAAACATTAATGCAATTAAAATCAAACAAGAAACTAAGTGATGTTTTTAAGAAAAACAAATTAAAATAAAATAGAGTTTTGCATGTAGGATAAGCAAATGTGAAAAATGGCAAAAAATTGTAACCATCTGAATTAAATGTTAAAAAATGCATGCAATAATTTATAGTTTAATGAATGTAAATGTTAATTGTAAATTTTTTGGAAAACGAGTGCAACGGTGGGTAATCGCATAGAACAAAACCAACAACAACAACATCAAGACATTCTTAATTAAAAACATAAATTCACACTGTAAAAAAAAACATTTAAAAATACCAAATAATTCAGTTTAATTTCATAAATTGCGCTGAAACAACGTTGAAAGCCACCTAATTGCAAACAAATAAATAGCGCCACCAACAATGCACCAAAAAGTGACGAAAAGTGCACAGCAATTATTAAAAATAAACAAAATATTTTGTAACGGTGACGGTCACACGTTTTGTGAAGGTCTAAGCGCCCGAACAACGCGCACTCATATTCATACATACCTAAGCCGAAGGTAAATTATTTATATGTAGATAATTAATAGATATTCAACATTTTGCATACATAGATATTGATAAAATTGCTGAAACAAATCCAAGTTTAGTTAGTATGTACAGTGTTTCAGTTTGTTTTGACAGCGCTTTTCGGCACTTTTCGGGTGTAGAGACTCAAGCTACACACACACACACACACACACACACACACCTACACAACAACAGAAAACTGGCAATAGCAACTCATTGTTTTCCAACCTGTATGTAAACACTAGGATACAAAACAAAATGTAGACCAAAAGTTTGAGCGAAATTTGATGAAATGTCTTCGCTTATCACAAATGAAGAATCAAAATTCTAAAAAAAATAATTACTTAAACAAATATTATTTACATACATACATATATTACAAATTATTTTCCTTTTAAAATCCAGTGCTAATGTAAACATTACTAAAAAAATCTTAATTTAATTAATTCTTAATTGCAAAAAATGTTAAAAATTTTCTTAAGCCTAATTTCTCTTAGTTTTTGCAAAATATCGTATTGTACTAAAAGGAGAACAACAAATTTATTTGTGATAAATGAAATAGAAAATTCCTTTTGTGCTTGCTTTTTTTACATACAACTAAATTATTGTGTTTAAGTGTAAAATATTAAGTAAAACTTAGTCATATTATTTTGTAGATCTAAATTCGTTTGATCTGTTTACAAAAAAAAAAAAAGCAAATCTATTTTAAGTGGGAAGTCAATATTGTTAATTGCGAATTAGACATAATTAAATTAAATTAATTTGCTTCTAAGCTCGAAAAAGCCGTGTGTAAATAAGTATAGTATATGAAGTCGTAAAATAAAGTTTATTTTAAACAAATTCGTAAAAAATAATGAAGCGTTTACTTTTTTTCGTTTTTCGGAAACAGATTTGAGTGGTGGGTGTTTTCTGAAATTTTGTTTCACTTCAATCTTCACTGCAATCTTCATACATATTCGTATTAGCATCTACCCATTTCGCCACGACCTTATTTTAACCCTTTTAGTACAAGTGTCCAATATATTGGACACACTTTTTCACGCTAAAAGCTCTTTTTTTTTTAAGAAAATTAGAGCTTTTGTTGCTAATGGAACCATCGGTTTGAGAAAATTGTATCATTCCTTTTTATCGTGTTGTTTTATTGAATTTTCTGTTAATTGTAAAAATTATTGTTTGTTTTGAAATATATTTCCCGCAAGAAAAAAAAATCAAAACAATTTCAAATTTTGGAAACCTAGAAAACTTCCGTCCAATATAGTGGACCCTGAATAACGGTAAAACTAACGGGTTTATAAAATTTTTGAAATCAATGACCAAATCTAGCCGGTATACAAATTTTCAGATTTTTAGCTTTAACGGTTGATTTTTTGTACTGAAAGATTTAAGAATTCTATATCCCGCAAGTGCACCCAGAAAAGAGAGATTTAGTAACTGTAACCAAACCACGTGTAGAGAGAAACATACATATAGAAACAACGTAAGAAAACAATAGACACGCATATTTTTTATGATGTTTAACTTTTTGGAAAAAAATTTATACAGTTTTAAGTTTTTCTTCATATTTATAGAAGATATTAATATTAATAAAATAAATGTTAATTTTCATAAGAAGTAGCCCTGAAAGAAGACGAATGCTTGTACGCAAAGAGCTTTGGTAGATGTCATCCTTGTCTCTGATTTTCAAGTGGCTGTAATTGAAAAACATTTTAATGACAGAGTTGGGTATTAAAAAATACCGGCGTTAAAACGAACATTTATACATGAAAATAATTTTTTTTGAAAAATCAATAATAACAATACTAATACTTTACACCCTTTTGCTAAGTCTTTGGCCGAGCTTCTTCTCCAATTTTACGCCGCCTCCGAATGGCAAACGGATTTCCTGATTCGCTTTTTCATGGCAGAAATACACTCGGAGGTTCGCCATTGCCTGCCGAGGAGCGACCACTGTTGATGTTGTTACGACCCACGACCGAAAAATATATTGATATTAAGTCGATTTTTGTCTGATATCACAAAGAATAACAGAAATTTTCGTGATCTAAAAGAATTCGCTTCTAACTCACTTGTCAGAAAAGGGGAAACGAAAATGAAGATTTTTTCGTTCTCTATGGAATACATATAAAACTTTATAAAAAAGTCCCAGTGATATTAGCAGTAAATCGAAAAACGTAAATTTGACCACAGCTGATTGTGCCGAGAAGATAGAAGATTTGAATTTTAAGTTTATATTCACAAAGTTTGTTGCCTTTGAAAAAAGAAATACATTCGCAAAATCTCTTTTTTAAATTTGCATGCGCCCATATCTAAGTACTTACTTTCATTCTAATTTCGAATTCGATTATTTTAAACATTTGATTTTTATATACATACACATGTATATTCGAGTGGTCCAAACCAATTTTTCCGAGGTAGGGTTCGGGGCACCTTCCAAAATTTTTCCTCATGCCAAAAGAGGTGCTGGCACCAAACTTAACGTTTCTAAGTATAAATTTAGAAGATACTCATGAAATGTGCCAAGTCCATTTTTTCAAATTGTTCAGTAGAGACGAAAAATCGATGTAGTCTCGCACTATCTATCATTCTGCGTCAAAAACTAAATTTTGGTAAAAAGTGGACTTGGACCTTTAGGCGGCGATATATTACCCACACAATTGGTTAAGCAACCTAAGATCATTTCAAATATAAATTACCTGAAAAAATAACACAAGCTTCATTGGTCATTGCAACAGTATCTTTTTATAAAAATCATCAACATGTTTGTTAGTTTCAAAGTGATTCAGTAGCGCAATTTCAGTGAACTTCGTGCCACCCAAATAAAAAATACCTCAAGCTTAGAGTGAAAAGCTCATATTTTGATACAGGAGGCTAGTGAAATTTAAAACGCATTGCTTCGAAGTGGATAAAGGTACTTGTTTTATTTATTCTCGTTTATATTAAATGAAAGGAAAATTTGTTAAGTTTACAAAAAGCACCGAAAATCCGTTAAGACTAAAATGGTACGTAATCGTTTATTAAAGATGGAATCCCTCTGATTCGTATAGAGTTTTGCTTTGCTTAAAACCAGAAAAATGTTGTATTCAAAGTTTTGCGAAATACTTGAAGAAAATGGCTACAAGAAGTTTTTTTCCTCTCCTATACAATTTTTAAAATGGGACTTAGCAACTTTTTCACTCTAAGCTAGCGATATTGATTTCATTAGAAGACTTTATAAGTGATCATGAATTCATTTTTTTCTAACTTATTAAAATCGATAATATTACTCCTGTGACACGACAAAAACAAGTAACTTGTTTTGTGTAAAATAAAAAAAAAAGGTTTTGTGTAACCATTTTTTTT